CACACTTGACACTGTCGTACCATACTGAATTCGCAGATTCAAAAGTACGTCAAACAAAAACAAAAACCACCGAAAAACACTGAAAGTTCACTTTCGTCTTGATTCCGACTTCAAACACACCGCAAGCTAAACGTAGTACGCTATAACGGACCAAGGGCCGTCGCGAGGGGTGGTGGGACGGACGGCTTATTTCATTCTGGAAGACTAGCAGCGACGTTGCCAATAGTTCTAGACGTTTCAGCACATTAAACAGTAAACATGTCCTTTAATAGTAACACATATATCCTCTGGTTAATAACATATTATTACGCATGCTTCTTTAAAAATAAACTATTAATTTAATTAAGAAATTGAGATTTATTGATATCCGGTAAAGGTTTTAAAGTCACCTTTTCTGCAAATCAAACTCAGTAGATAGGCGCAAATTTGAGATGCGGCAAAGTCGCCTTCTCTATCTCAGTTGGTTTTTACAGTACGTAGTCAACCTCCGATTGTTTGATCGGGTTAAAATGTCTAATGTGATATCTGTTCTTACCAAATCTATGGATTTTGCCCAATTGTAGCGATTTTTCTTTTGAATTTCTGTCAGTAGCGGTTTTTCTTTGGCCTAAATAAGAATTTGTATCAATAATCTTCAGGTAATTGATTATCCACACAAAATAAAGTTTACCTTGTAAAACCCCAGACAGCATTTATGGATATATTTTCGGCAACATTCTCTTGATATATTTAAACTAGTTACAGTATTCCATTTAACTGTTACTTCGCGAAGAGTACTTCTTCTCGCAGACTTGCAAATTTTTACTAAATTTCGTAAATATCTCTGAGATACAGTTTTTGGCCTTCCCGAACTTTTACCTCTCACGTCTACATTGGCAGATTCGCCCTATTTTTTTTATTATATTAAAGACCGTCGTTTTTGGAAAACTTAAATCATCAGAAATTTTTCGAATTGTTTTTCCCGTACTGTATTGACGAATGATAATTTCGCGTAGTTTTTACTAGTTTCAATTAAATTAACAAAATTGAAAATTAAAAAAATTAAAATTACTTACAGTAAATCTCACTACTCAAAGTATCGAGTCACTTACAAGCTGTCAATGCTGAAGTAAACAGTTTGCGACATTTGTGACGTTTATAGCAAAGCTGCCTATGATGATATTAATTATTTAAAAATACTTGTCCCAACATTTAGTTGTCAGCAAATTTGTCCTTTTATGAACAAAATCCGCTACTGTAAATATGGATTGATTTACAAATTCATAAAAATATTGTCAAGTTGTTTAGGATATATGGCTATGTTTATATTTAAAAAATTAAACATATATTTTTCAGTCATTTTGAAAAACCAGGGCAATAATTGCAAAATATGACCTTGTCCCAACATATAGTTGTTAGGGCTCGTATATAGGTATGTTAATGTAGTTAAATTTAAGTTAGATAGAAAAAAAGATGTCTACACTAAAGTTTTAATACATTTATTTTCACAAAAGAAATAATTTAAATTTACATTTATTACAGTGATATTTCTTAATATATTACAACAGAAAGAAATACAACAATAGTTTTTATTTCAATTGCAGAATAATATTATCGATAATATTGTTTTAAAATAGACAGATAAATTGAATATAGTCTGTCCAACAAGCCAGGGAAGATTTTGACTGATGACATAAAAAAATGGCAGAAAATACAATTTACCTGTGAATTATGACAGACACAACTGTCGCTGTCATGGATTCTCTTGTTGAACAGACTATACAGTACAGTGACTTTTATTTTAATATAGTTTCAGTTAAAACACCTATATTACATTATATAGCTTAAACTTTATATTTTAACTATATCTAATAAATTAAATAACAATTTATTATCACAGAACAGACTAGTTTAATTAATTGTAAAATTCTAACTACATATATTACTAATTATTGACGTGAAATAATACAAATTTGACACATATAATTCTGGAGTCTTGAACTATAACTTTAATAAAAATTATTGTTAACTGTTGCTTTTACAAAATATTATTTAATTCAGTATATTTATAATTGTGAAATCCAAAAATCAGAATAGAATTAATTATACAATATTTCTTGACTACACATCTAATTTCTGAAATATAACAACTTGTTGAATTCTTGTTCAGTTCTTAAAATATAATTCAAAATTCATAAAAAGATGTTTAAAAAAAGTAACATCGAATCATGTAAAAAATATAATTAGTACTTTTATAATTTCTATTACAAAATACAAATCTATAGAATTATTAAAATTAATAGAGAGTAGTTAGTTTCAAAAAACGTCATATAAATTATGCTATTACAAACATACCCTATGGTCAAGAAAATGGTATCGTAGTGACTTTTTAAGTGGCCAAGGATGATTATTTCCGTCAGAAGTTTGTCATTTATTAAAAATTGACATAAACATTTATCAAAAACTAATATTTAGTTTAGAACAAAAGAAGAAAAGAGATTTAAGTCCCAGATCTATTTAGCAAAATATTGAATAGATTTGCCTGTTAATAATGATGATTTTTTTTAAATTTATTTCTACTTGCGGTATTTAACTAATTATTAATATTAATTTTTGAATCTATTTTTAATAAATGATGCAAAAGTATGCACCCGATAGAAATTATCATCGATTGTCATTTAAAAGGCTACTTTAACAAGGTTTATTTTTTGACCACAAGATGTCCGTATGGTAGATCATAAGTTGAAATATAAAATCTACTAGTGTTTTCGAAAATAAAGCTTTCAGGGATTCTTTTGAGATATTTATGTTCAAAGATTTAAATGTCAGGTCTCAGAAATTCTGTCAATACAGAATTGGTAAACATAAAATTTGTTTTTGTAGAGTAAAAACAGTTAATCATATTACACAGGCCGGCATACGAAACTATACAGGGTGAGTTCCCTACGATGTTCTCTATGGGTATCTCGGAAACTACTGGAGATAGAGAGTCGCTTAAATGGGTAAAGAATTGCAGTTTTGTAGGGTCATAAATATGCGCCTTTCAGATTTTTGAAAAAATTCATGGCTTACTAGATATTTCGAAAAAAACAAATTTCGGCTATTTTAAAAATTGTCCCTAATTCCATTATAAGCTATTTTTGATAAAAAGTTTTCAGATAAAAGTTGTAGATAATCACATCCCTTATGAGACTGTGCCCTCCGTTTTCTTCTAAAGTCTGTCAGTTTTGACATATGACACAAACATATGTTTTTTTAAATGGAAACATTAGTTGGCCATGACTTCATAAAAAGCGCCATTTTTTAAGCTTTTCAGCGATGTAAGCGATTATATGTTTTCTTCGAAAAATTACTGAGTTATAGCCAATTCTTCTCATTTTTAAACAATTTCACTTAGTTAGCCATGGAAACAAACTTAATCGCCTTTGCTCTCAGAAATGTGAAGCTGTCACATCCAAACTTTGTAAATTAAAATAAGCAAACATTGTAAATATGGATTTTTCAAATGAAGAAAAGCGTGTAGAATTATTGGTTCAACTTTTCTTGACCATACATTTTCGAGGATACGTTGACCGGTGAATGTTATGTTTTTTAGAGAACGGTTTTCAAGACATGTTAGGAAAGTTAAATTTAGTTTAGCCAATTCTTATCTTTCTTGACTAATTTCAATTAGATTGCATGGTATTCTTATTCTGTTGTGATTTATAACTTATAAAAAGTCAGAATATATTACTAAACGGTTCCTTACAATTTACATTGCACAAACAAAAACTTAAAAAAAATAATCACTGCATACACTTTAAGTTATTTTAGAAAGTGTTTAAAAAATCCGCCATTGTTTTGAGTTGCATCTTTTTAAAACTGAACTACTACCTATTCTCATAGAAGGACCGGTCGACTTAATTAAACTTCACTAGTACCGCTACTCGAGAGCAACTACGATTGAACTTGTTTCCATGGCTAACTAAGTGAAATTGTTTAAAAATGATAAGAATTGACTATAACTCAGTAATTTTTCGAAGAAAACATATTATAGCTTATATCGCTAAAAATCTTAAAAAATGGCGCTTTTTATGAAATCATGGCCAACTATGGTTTCCATTTAAAAAAACATATGTTTGTATCATATGTCAAAAATGACAGGCATTAGAAGAAAACTGAGGACACAGTCTCATTAGGGATGTGATTATCTACAACTTTTATCTGAAAACTTTTTGTCTAAAATAGCTTATAATGGAATTAGGGACAATTTTTAAAATAGCCGAAATTTGTTTTTTTCGAAATATCTAGTAAGCCATGAATTTTTTCAAAAATCTGAAAGGCGCATATTTATGACCCCACAAAACTACAATTCTTTCCCCATTTAAGCGACTCTCTATCTCCAGTAGTTTCCGAGATACCCATAGAGAACATCGTAGGAAACTCACCCTGTATATAAATAGTAATAAAAAAGTATAAATATTTTAATTACATTATTTGACGTCATTATGGTCACTTTACTTTAAAGCTATAATTAGTTACAAGTTTAAACTAGAATAGTGAAACAGAAATTGAAAAATGTGAAACATGTCCATTTTGATTTTGTAAAAACAACAAATCTTGACATCTATGCTTTTCTTATTAGGTATTGATCAAAGCTAGCATTGTATTCACATTGTTTCTTTATAAAACCATACCACTAGTACATAGTGATAAAAAAATAGGACGTCAAAAATAGAAAATTTAATTAAAAAACAAAAGAGATATTTTATCTTGGTAAATTTTTGGTTAATTGGAATATTTGTGTGTTTTGAATAGATAGAGACGTTTTAGACTAGAATTTGTCATGTAGTTTGACCCTGAAACATTGCCTACAATCATAAAATCAACGTTATTTGAACTAACAATGTGTTGGACTACAGCTTAATACAGTAACTAAAATTAAAACGTTGATAATAAAAGTACTGAATTAAAAAAGTTTTTTTTTTACTTTTTAGCTTATGAAACTCCTTTTGTTTCCAAGCAGCATTGCGATTGATTATTTATTGTCCACCTGTGGCGCATTTCTCCATATAATACATGTCACCTAACAACTGAGTAATCGGAATTTCTCCGATAGTTTCTTTGAAAAACAGCAATTCGACAGTTATGGGTCTGATGGCTCTTAAACTAGGAACTAGTAGTAGTAGTCTTCCGAACCTGGTAGGTTGTCTGGGGTATCTCATTCTGACATAGTCACCCAAGATACACTGTGCTTGATCTTGAAGCATTTCCACTGGCTGGACATCACACAAACCGGCGGTTTCTATATAAAAAGGATTCTATTAATTAAAATTACTTTTTTACTAAATCTCCCTAATTGATTCTTATAATAATACCAAACGATCGAAAAAGAACGGCGTCAAAGACAACTGCGGAATGGGAATCGGTAATATTTTTCCACTAAATTGTCACGTGTCTTTCACGACATCCAATCAGCTACAGTGGCGGCGGGTGGGTATAAAATCAGGTGAAGAGTTTTTGGTGAGAGTGAAGAATTTCTCAAATCGCGCCGCAGGCAAAATTTTTTTTGGCGCATTCACCATTTTGTCAACATTCTTTTTTGTTTTTAGTTTGGGTTAAAACACATTAAGTAAAAAGAGATACAACCAGTTTTCGATAAACACATTATTTTGCAATCCAGTGAAAATATAATTAAATTTAAATTAAATATAATAAACATTATACACAGTGTCCGCCATAAAATTGGATTCATATGGACGTTTTTTTTATATTAGAGTTTTAAAAAATCTTTTTGTGGCAATCACTTCTGCTTTGAAAACAACTTGAAATGCACCAAGTCAAAGTTGACAGCTAACATCTGGGAGCTGTCAAATACAAAATATTTAAAAGAAATTTTTAAAAATTAGTTAAATTATTATTTTAAAAAAGGTGATTAACAAAATTATGTTTCACCTTTGACTTGGTGCATTTTAAGTTGTTTTCAAAGCAGAAGTGATTGCCACAAAAAGATTTTTTAAAACTCTAATACAAAAAAAAACGTTCATATGGATCCAACTTCATGGCGAACACTGTATTTATTGAAGGGCTTCCCCGAAAAACGTTGTAACCGACATTTTTTTTTCAAAATAGAGAATTCAGTGAAATAAGGTTGTAATTTTTATAGGTATAACGTTTCAATTATTAGGAGCCATTCAATTATTATTCAATTATTACATTAATTATTATTACATTAATGTTTACTAAGCAATATTAACCAAAATAAATTTGACTTATTTATATTACTAACTTTACTAATTTTTGTAAATTAGCTCAATTTTTCATGTTTCAAATTGCACACCAAGTCATTGATGGGGTTCATTTTTTAACACATACAAAACAGTTTTAAACCACAACAACAAAACAAAGCAAAAATCAACAAGTTAAATCAACAAAAAACATTAACAAACAACAATAAATAATCAACAAAAACTTTACAGTCTTTACATCTTTACATGGTTAATTACTCGCCGAAGTAGCCGAATATTAGCATAAAGGAAGACCAAGCGAACTGCCCAAAAACTCATTCACATCGGTCGCCGATAACAAATTTCGGGGCGGGGAATTTACATGCTGCCGCTAGACTGACGTCACGTTACCATGGAAACCGTGCATCCGCTCGGCTCACAAATATTTTTTCTTCACTTGTGGCTTCGTGGAAACGTAGGCGCGTGCGGGCCAATAATGCTACTTTTTCGGCCGGAATTAACCTTAGAGTAAGGAATTAACGATGCGGTGGATCTATTATGTAGAGGTCCACTCGGAAAAAAATAATTTATAAAAAATTACCATTTTATTATTTAGATACATGTAAATATATTAAACTAAATTAATATTTTAAGCAGTAAAGTTTTTTCTCTAATTTGAGTATTTTTTTCGGTGAAGTGCCCCTTCACCTACTGCACTGACGAGCCGCAACTGATCAGCTAATCAATTTTTTGAACGTTTAAATTAGGACTAACACAGACTTATACACACATTAAACATCCATGTCCAGAGCTGGATTCGAACCAGTAATCTTGCTTACTAGATAGCACCGATACTCAAAAATAGATGATAATTTTGGCAATCTACTTGCTGCTAGTTGGCCTTAAGAAGGTTGCCATTTATTTATTTATTATACGGTACTTACGACTAGAGTAACTAAAGTAATAATACGGTACCAATGAAGACTGGACAACAAACAAAAAATGTGATATACAAAATACCATGTGAATGTGATAAATTTTATATCGGTGAAACATCTAGACCCTTAAATGTTCGAATTAAAGAACATAAAGATTATTTAAGAAAGGGCAACTTTCACAAATCTAAGATTTGTCAGCATTCATGGGACACAGCGCACAGAATAGATTTTAACAATGCAAAAATTATAATGAACGAAGCGATAGCCTCTAAAAGAAAAATAAAAGAGGCTTTTTTAATACAATCTAATAAAAATAAATGTATTGCTCATGCATCTGTAGATGTTAGTAATTATGGCAAATTTGTTTATCTGTAAAGCTAACTGCTGACAATTAGTCTCCGTTGGATTAACGCAGCAGTATTTACAAAAAATAACTATTTTATTTTGTAGATTTTCTTGCAATGGCGAAACACCCATATAGGACTTCTTTAGAGAGATGAATCCGCCACATAGATATGACATTTTTTGGCAATTTACTTGCCTCATACTCTTTATTTTTTAATGACACTTACTGCCAGTTGGCCTTAGCAAGAAGGTTGTAATTTATTTTAATATTGAGTAACTATTATTTTTAAATGGTGTAGTAATGTGTAAATGGTGTATAATTGTAATATTATTTTTAAATTAGATCAAAATCGAGAAAAAAAACGTTTTTTTGCACATAGATGTTGTGTTTTGTTAAATTTTGACAAGTTTTATGTCAATTTTTAGTAATTGACCTCGCCAAAATTATCATCGATTTTCATTCCCAGCCATCTTTGACGCCGTTTTTTTATCATGCGGTACTTACGGCTAAAGTAACTAAAGTAATAATAATGCAATTAGTATGCAATGTAGAGGAGTAAAACATTAGAAAACAGGTAAAACCTGTTACTATACAATGGAAGTATAAACAAAAAAAAAGCTAACAACTAAAAAAACGCTAAAAACCCTCGTAAAAAACAAAAAAAAACGTTTGTCCCTTGCGAATTTTTCTTATTTATAACTGTTTTTTCTTGTTTATTAGCGCTATTTACTAGTTTATTAATATTTTACTCTACCACCATAATCAACCTTCTTAACTACTCCCATTTAAAAAAATAATAGTTTATACTAATAACTTTCATTCTTTACAGCGTATGATATTTTTGGTAATACGTTATTTAAAACTTAAAACACTATACCGTATGTTCCCGGATTGCCTTTACAAGAGGAAAAAAAACTTTTTTATTGTTGACATTTCGAGAACCACCAAAACGCCTTGTTTTTACCACAAAAATACCTTTTGATTTTTGGGACTGTGACTAAAAATCAACCATATTTTCATGATTTTTTAAATTTTCTCTATAACGGCATGGAAATTTGAAAAATATAAACGGGATTAAACATTTTAGAACAAGCTAATTTTTTTTGAAGAAGGCACTTTTCTGAAAATGTCAATAATAAAAAAGCTTCTCCTTTTGTAAAGACAATCCGGGGACCATACTGCATATATTAAACATACCTGGAGTAAATAGCAATATAGCTTTCATGCATCCACATTCACTTCCGTCTGGTGATATCTGTCGAAACCGACACATTATTTCCTGAAAAAAATGCTCATGAAAATAATGTTTAATAATTGTTAAAAATTGTAAATTTCTTACTTGTATTGTTTTAATCTCTGTAGCTGTGTGAACGTCGTTTGGAAGCCTTTCTCTAGCTTGAGAGCAACCCAAAACAGTGGATAAATCCCACATGGACAGACCATTGGGCCAGATGTAATAAAACAATTCTTTCCACGATTCTTGTAGTAGCAATAGCTGATCGTGTTTACTGAGCGTTTGGAATGGTGCTAAACAACGGACCCATCGAACTGCCATAAATAGAAGTCTAGCTGTTGTTTCCTATTAGAAGAAATAATTTGATTATAATGAGATGTAAGGTACCAGGTAGGTTTATAAAAAGAGTCTATATGATCGAAATATAAACGACGTGAAGTTGAAAATGCCGATCGACATTCGCCATATAATTTTACAAATAAAATTACAGCAATCTTCATTTCAAAACCAACTCTGACGCCGTTTAATGTAAGACGGCTTCTAGAAAGGCAAAAGGCCTATATATTTGTCGAACATCAGGTTTTCACTAAATAATATTGCGCAATAGATTATTCAATGAAAGAATAATATGTATTAAGTAAATAATTAACTAATTAAAGCATATACAAATTATAAGTATACCGTGGGGTGCATCGGAAAACGAAGCATAGGAAATCCCATGTAAATTTTGAAAAGGTCAAATATTATCTCCCCAAATGATTTTATGCAAAAGTTGGATTAGACTAGAATTTCGTTTTATTTGGAATAGTCATTTAAAAGTTATATGTAAAAATCTACCTTCAAATTAGTAAAATTTATAATACGGCCCAGAGAAATCTAGAATTAAAATACCAGCAAAAATGTAATTATGTCATTATCAAATTTGATGTCCCATTTTGTTTAAAAAAATTTGAAGGTACTAAATAGAGTCATTTTGTATAAAATAATTATGATTTTCAGAACTTCTGAAAAAGTTACGATAGTTAAACGGCATTTTGCTGAAAATAATATTTCCGCTGTGTTAGATTTGTTCGCAGCTCAGTCTCCGGAAACACTATACTTACAAGTGCCTGTACCAAATAAGTCAACAGTTTAAAGAATAAACTAGGCAGAGATTTGAAACTAAAGGCACGGTATTAAGCACCTAGAAATGTGAAGACCAAAATAATTGAACAGGAAGAAAAAAACAATAACTTGAATATTCTTCATGTTGAAGAAAAGAAAAAAATTGACTCTATTGACCGTCTATTGGGATAACAGTAGGAAAAGACCAAAGGATCTTTCGCCGAACAACTTCTTCCTGTAGAGAACACTCAAAAACCGTTATTATGGACATACTAAATACAGAAATTTAGATCTAACGACATCTCTGTGGAAGACTAAAGATTCTCGATAGGCGATTATGTAAACATTTTATTAATTAATATAGTTTAATAAAGTTCCTTTAGTTAGAAACATTTCTTTTATTTGTTAAATTATTGTGGATGTATGTGGTATGAGCGACGCGACGCCTGTGAGTGATCGAGTAATGAACAGCAATCAAGTCATACTCCGCGTCCTTCCCAGTTCAATTAATTCTTTTGTAGATGTTCATTCCGAATTCTGAAAAAATAACCATCCTTTCCAAACCCCATAAATTCTTGTAAACAAAAAAAGTGACATCGAATTTGACAATGACAAAAACATACTTTTGCTATATTTGTAGCTTTCTCTGGGCCGTATTATAAATTTTTAGTAATTTGAAGGTAGATTTCTGCAAATAAATTTTAGATGCCTATTCCAAATAAAACGAAATTCTAGACGTAACTATAACGCCTCTTCAAAAAAGTCTAATACACTTTTTGCTAACTAAATTTTACGTTTGCATAAAATCATCTGGGGCGATAATATTTGACGTTTTAAAAATTTACATGGGATTTCCTATGTCCCGTTTTCCGATACACCACACGGTATATAGATTATAAAGAAACTGCAAGTCGCACAACGCTCAATAGAACGAAATATAATGGGAATAACCACGGGGGTGTCACTTGTATGGGAAAACAGGCAACAGTCAAATTTAAACGTGCCAGGACCAACGACAAAGAAAGCAACATCTGCCAGGCATTGGCTTTCTTTGTCACTCACATTGCTTAAATCATGATACCGCGGCCATTTTGTCAACAAAGAAGCTGGCCGGGCTGTCCTGGCAAGTGATTTAAAACAATTTTGCTTTTTTACAATATTAAATTACCATTTGGATGTATTTAATGCGATTATTCAGTTAACTGGTAAGTCAGAAATTACACACAAATACTTTATTCGTAAATACAACTAAGTAAATACAACTGTTGCAAAGACCCGCCGATAGAACTTGCCTGGCAGCGTACCTGTTTAACTAAAGGTTTTATTTCCTGATAATAACAGCAAAACACGTAAGTACCTCTATAATTTATGATGAAAAATGATTTTGATTATGTTTTATATTATTTAAATACTTTCTAACCTCAAATAATAGTAAGATCCTTGTTTATATCGCACAGCCCGTTCAAAACTGTATTGTCTTCAAAAAATGTTTACAAAACAAACAATTATTAAAAAACAATATCCTTTTAATCTGATTTATACCTCAGAAGGATGCCAGTAAAATTTTATTAAATCAACATTATATTATTTGGCCGTTAATATGCAAAAAGGAGCATATTGCCTTAACTTAAATTTTCTTTTACTACTCCTGACAATGTTCTCTATATTCTCTATTTTGAGTTTTTTTGGTTGTTTATGCACGTTGGCTTGGTTTATGTTTTATTAAGCTTATATTTATTTGGTATAACAGTTTTTTTGCCTTTGGAATGGCATGTATTGAGGCTAGATAGTGTTTCATTAGATCATTAAAGGAATTTAAATTAGCATATATTTTTTGTCATATTAGTGTGTTATCATGATACAGGTAGTTGCATCATAGTGTCTTATGCATGTTATTTACCTATTATAGACTTATGCAATGTATTATCAGTAAATAGATGATAACATACTACTAAAATGTCTTTTTAATAGTATGTTTATCTTTCCAATTCACTAGTTATTTGCAAAATGTATTTTGAACTAATTTAAGTCATTAATTGATCATCTTCTTTCTTTTCAGGTTCCGGGATATTCTTTTTCATTGTTAAAAAATATATATATTTTCAATATTATTGTAATATAAATCGCAGCTCTAAAAAATAAATGATATTGTTCACTAACGTGTACTTTATTTACTATGAATTTTCTCTGAAAATAATAAGTCTTTAATAATATCATTGATTTGCTGTGTAAAGTTAATAGACATATTTTTTAATACATTAAATTATATTAAAGTAATAAAAAATATGTTTATTAACTTTAAACAGTAAGTCAGTAATACTTATAAAAATATTTTTTTTTAAATTTCCCCTCTTTTAAGCCCCGCCCCTCCAATTCCCCTCAAATTAGTTAGTACTGCCAGGCGACACCAGGTGGCGTCTGTTTCCATTTTTTAACATGAAGTTAGCATTTCTTTAATGTACCTATTCTCTGGGAATAACCAAGAAAAACCGTAAATGAATAGAGTGGATACGACCCAGATAATTAATGTCATCCACAAAATCCAATCCCTCAAGTGTGCCCATTGCCAACAAGGACGGACAATAGATGGACCGCAAAAATTGCAGCATGGTACCCACGAGGAATTAAGAGACCTACAAGAAGGACCTAAGATAGGAACATGATATTAGGGAAATTATTAGAGATAACGGGCCCGCAAGCCAATAATAGACAACAATAGGCCTAACTACAAAGAGAGTATCTAAATATGTCAGAGAGACCATAATTGGAAAATACCATGGAGCACCATATTTGGAAATGGCTAAAAATAAAAAGCTAAAAATGATGATTATGATGATGATGATATTCAAAGCACTGGCACAAATTACCTATAACAGATGCGAAAGAAAGCGACTGCATCGGAAACCGCTCGGCAAACCCCACACGCCTATTGAGTGGTGTAAATACACCAGTCGTTTAGTCCGGACACCTATGCTGTGTCGTATTCGCTTGCTGGAATGACATAGTGCGTGGTTATATGTTTCTTTTTAAAAACGGGTGTAGGATTTTTGTTGAACTTTTGAACTGTTATTTCTAAGTTTTGGTAATTTGTATATCTTATTTAAAATGGGATACAAATGTGTTTATTTATAAGAAAAAAAAAGATATTTATAGTATAAAAATTAATTTATTTAACAAAATTTAATTAAAAATGTGACAAAATAGTACCTTTCTATTGGTTCTATCGGACTTTTTCGACTATATAAATCTTTATTTGTAACTTTAATACATCAAATATTTTCAATCTAATAAATCATTGAATGATGATGAGGAAATAAGAGGTCAAATTCTATAGTTTTCATTATATCAAACAGCCTCTGAAAAATGTTTTCAACTCAAAATGCCTTTAATTATGTTTGACTACATCAATTAAAAGGGTCTTCAAATACATCAATGTGATATTTGTCTAAAATTTGCAAAAGAATCCGAATCTCTGGATAACTCGAAATTATTTACCCATTTAAAAGCCTTTGATCATGAAAGTGGAAAAATTTGTTCATTTTATTTACTGGAAATGGAAAAATTATTTATATTAAATTTTGATGAGTTTTGCACTGAAGAAAACATTCAGAGGCTGTTTGATATAATGAAAACTATAGAATTTGACCACCCATGTGAGAAATTTCCTCTTATTTACATCATTAAATTATTTATTAGATTGAAAATATTTTATGCATTAAAGTTTACAAAAAATAAAGATTTATATAGTCGAAAATAGTACGATAGAACCAATAGAAAAGTAACTATTTTGTCACATCTTTAATTAAATTTTGTTAAATAAATTAATTTTTTATACTATAAATATCTTTTTTTTCCTAATCTCCTACGAACTGATATAATATGACGAGCAATCTATTAAATTACTGTGAGATTATATGCCTCGATAACATATTGGTGCAGATAATATATTTTCACCCAAAGAAATAATAACCCAAACTATACATTGATGCGGATTGTCTATGAACTCTTTCTGAAGGTCACAGAAACCTGAACGGGTAATTCGGTGTTCCTTCGCATCTGTTGTAGTTAATTTGTGGCACTGGCTAGTGCTAACCAAGTGCTGAATAGGCAAGTGACCATATTTGGATTGGATCTGGAATTGGTATTTCCAGCTTTTTTGCAGAAGAAAAAAACAACACTGCACTTTTAAACCGCATAATTTTGTAATAGTTTAAACATATTATTAATAACCCATTGTTAAT